ATCATTCAACAAGTGTATTTTGTCAGGTAATTATGACATTTAACCAATGTTTGAGATATGTGAATAGTATAGTACGTGTTTTTTTTTTACTGAAATGTGTATCAGTAATAATCTCAGTAATAATGTGTTATTTTAAAAAAGACTACAATTTTTTGACTAAAGCTAGACTAAAATATATTGAGTTCTTTTTTGACTAAAACTAGACTAAAATTAAAAGACTTTTAGTCGACTAAAACTTGACCAAGATATCTTGAGTTTTCTTTTGACTAAAACTAGACTAAAATGACGAGACTTCTAGTCGACTAAAACTTGACTAACAAAAAAAGATATGTGAATGACTAAATATGACTAAAACTAACAAGGACATTTGGCACAAGACTAAGACTAAGACTAAATTAAAAATAGGTGACGAAATTAACACTACACCGGTCTGAGCTGATTTGTACCTCTAAAAGTCACAAAGAAGTGCACAAACAAATCATTCAGGCACGTTAACTGCAGTCACCCCTTCACATTTGCGAGGTTTGGACCAGGTGATACCCACAAATGTGAAAATTCACAAATAATTCTTGCCCCCTCAACCCCTATAACAATCTGCTAGCCAGAACGATAAAAAAAATATATATTACTAATTTATAAAGAAATAGTAGTGTACTATACACTTTGCATGCCAAATTGCTTTGTCATTTCCTATCTAGACCTTATTATATAATATACAAACCATGTAAATTATGCCCTATTATGTATGAAGTTCCCACTGTGAGCACTATGTTTTTAACACATTTTTAAACATGCAAAATTAACAGTGCTGAAAAGTTTACAAGTTACTTTGAGAAACATGGGTCACAAAGACAGCTATCATGTGACTGAAGGGTGATCTCCACAACTCCTCTGTGCCTCCCCGACTCCCCTGTGTCTCCCAGGCTCCCCTGTGCCTCCCTGCCTCCTCTGTGCCTCCCCGACTCCCCTGTGCCTCCCCGACTCCCCTGTGCCTCCCCGACTCCCCTGTGCCTCCCCGCCTCCTCTGTGCCTCCCCGACTCCCCTGTGCCTCCCAGACTCCCCTGTGCCTCCTCGCCTCCTCTGTGCCTCCCCGACTCCCCTGTGCCTCCCAGGCTCCCCTGTGCCTCCCCGACTCCCCTGTGCCTCCTCGCCTCCTCTGTGCCTCCCTGCCTCCCCTGTGCCTCCCTGCCTCCCCTGTGCCTCCTCGCCTCCCCTGTGCCTCCTCTGTGCCTCCCCGACTCCTCTGTGCCTCCCCGACTCCTCTGTGCCTCCCCGACTCCTCTGTGTCTCCCCGACTCCCCTGTGTCTCCCAGGCTCCTCCGTGGTCTCCTCGTTTCCCTAGTGCTCAGCTTCCACACTGATGAGCCCGTTTGGGTTCTCTCTGATTCTGGAGTTTACAGCAGCCTACATGATTTACATTTTTTTTTAAATACCATCATGTACCTAATGTCGGGGTGAAATGTCTAGAAAGTATGATGCCCAAGTCTGATTTTAGTATTGTTTTCGGCTTATGTCTCATCCGCGAGTTTCTGCGATCATTCAGCAAGCTCCAAAAATATTCCCATTAATTGTTCACAGTCAACTCACACATAACTGAAACGGCAAATGTGAAAGGGTTACTGTATTCAAAAGTGAATTACTTCAGCTATGCGGTCCTACTTGCCAGTGATGACGCATATACCTTCCTTTTTGAGAAAGCATAGCTGCCTGATAGATCTGACTGGAAAGTGCTGATAGCTTAATTCACCAGGACTGATTAATGAGAAGGCTGACACAAAGGATGGAGGAGGTGCACTCACTTGAGGGTGGAGAGCTCCGTCACGAGCCCGCAGAGAAGGTGCGTGGCGTCCTCCTGCTTGCCGGTAGGCTGGTCACGTTCCAGCTCGCTGAGGCCACACAGACACGCGTGTCAGCGGTAACCGCACAGGAAACCCTCTGCTAATGAACACGAACACACCCCCCGTCTCACCCGAGCGCAACGCTGTTCAGCTGGGAGTCAGACAGGAAAACAGCGGGTGGGACGTCCACATCACAGGGGTCAGGAACAGCACTGGCTGGGTGGGTCTGTGGTCTTGATGGCTGCGAGGGACCGGGAAGACTGGGATTGAGGGTCTAGACCCTGTTGTGGTCTACAACCAGCCAGTCCAGTCAACAATACCATCAATGACAAATCAGCTTACCACCTTTCATGCTACTCCTTACCAGTGAGTACGTAATATATTTATTTAAAGTAAGACCTGACTTCCTGTTTTAATGTGGACGAGATGTAGCTGGAGATATTGCCATACCTCAGTGCTGAGATTCTGGATCAGCTGGTGGTTCCAAGGCAGTGGCTGGTTCTCACCAGTAGGGGGCAACACTGAGGCAAAGGAAAAGCCAGAGCTACCCACCTCATCTGCTGTTTCCGGAATCCTGAGGACCCAGACGTCTACAGATTTGGCAGGTGGGGATTGAAAAATCAATGAATGAACAACAAGAGCGAAGAAAGACGTAGAATAGGAAGGAAACATTATTATCTGATTTACTCTATTGTATCATTCTAACTTACATTTAAGCAACAAATTAAACACCAGCAAAATGTAATAACCACAATAAAAATCAAGCTCGCACAAACAGTTGCATTTACCGTTGTGCATATCAGCCACAGAGGGTTCAGGCTGACAGTGCAGGAGCTCTGCCGGCGATTGCTCTGGTCTGGGAGGTGCCTGCGAGGTGACATTGTCATCAGCAGCTACCTCAGGCTCCGTGTGGGATGGAAAGGTCACTGGCGGGGCTGCACCTTTGGGGGGAGAGTCCCCAACGGCAGTCTTTGCTAGGCTGGAGTGCACCGTAGTTCCAGCCTGTATGGCGTGCTGCACGGCTTTCCCCATCTCCTCCTCGCCGCCATGTTCTGGGTCTTCTCCGGATGCGCTCATCTCCAGGCCACATTCGTCCTTCTGCACATCACGGGGGCTGCCCTTGTTGCCCACTCCCCTCTCATGTGACTGATGGCTGGTGCCCTTGAGCTCGGCACAGCCCAGAACTGCAGCTCCATCATCCACCTGCCCCCTGATCTCAGTGTCCCTTCCACTCCCAGTCCCTCCAGCAGCTAGGCTCTGGAGCCTGCTTGCAGTCCCCTGGGCAGTGGTCACCTCAGTCGGCCTTGCCTGCTCTCCTGCTATGAATGATGCAGTCATGCCACCTTCTGCAACTGGATGTCTTTTATGTCCCCCTGGACCGTCAGTGCTGCTGAGGACCTCACTGGATGACGTCCCATGTTGTTCTGTCCCCATCTCAGCATCAAATTCCTTTTGAAACCTCTCCTCCCTCGTTCCTGTGCCCTCCCTTCTTCCTGTCCTCAGATTGTAGCGTCTCCTGCTCCCACATTCCCCTATGCCCCACACGGCCGTCCTCTTCCGGACCCTTCTTTCCACCATAGAGTGAGCCTGCCCAATGGCTGAGCGGCTAGCCCTCTGATCCTGCTGGGACTGCAGCTCAGGCCTCCTGCCGTGTGCTCTCACCGCAGCCGCCCCAGTACGTGTGCTTCTGGCATATGATGACGGCACAGGGGTCTGATCAGGTTCACCCACCTGTGAGGCCCCCATCTCATTGCCTGTCTCTGTGGGACTTGGTGTGACAGGACTGTGCTCCTGTGCTCCTCTGTCACAGCGACCTGCTGGCTTGGCATTACTACTCCTCATCGTTCCTTCCCTGACATCACAACAGGCTTCACAGTCAGCATAAGAGTTATTCTCTGGATTCCTAAGATGGCTAAGTATGCTGGCACCTCCTAATGTCTGAGACAGACAGTCACGTGATAGCATATTGCAATGGTACAATGTAAAGTAATGGTTTTAGCACTGCCAGAAATCAAATCAGCCACTCAGAGAATGAATCAATAACTTTCAACACGCTGCCCATTACTAAAACTGAGACCTCATACTGAAGTGTCCTGTGTGCAGCCCAACATTGTCGGTTTTAGGAATCGGCGAAGACTGGAAAGGTATTGGATGTCTATTGCTTCATAACCCACTAATGAAGCGCCCCCAGGGATTAATGACCCACAGTACTGATCCGTCAATAATAGGCCCCACTAAACAGTTAGCTTTCACCAGTGGTGGAGGAAGTACTGAAGTGTAGTACTTAAGAAAAAGTACAAATATCCTGCAAAATATGTAAAAGTAGAAGTGCTACATCAACAATATTACTTAAGTGAAAGTAATAAGTACTTCATTTTAAATTTACTTTAAAGTATTTTTTTAAGTAAAAGTACTCACACAAAGGTTTGTCTCAATGTCTGGGGTGTGCCATTTTGTAAAAGAATAGTAGATATACTGACTTACGCCTCTACCAATGTCAATGCTCGTAATAATTACAAGCAACTATACAGTATATGTGTATTGTTAAGTTTGATGTGCTTATTGTGTCTGCTCCTCCTCGGTCCCCTAAGATCACACACGGCCCCCGTTACTGTGTCTGCTCCTCCTCGGTCCCCTAAGATCACACATGGCCCCCTTTACTGTGTCTACTCCTCCTCTGTCCCCTAAGATCACACATGGCCCCCGTTACTGTGTCTGCTCCTCCTCGGTCCCCTAAGATCACACATGGCCCCCTTTACTGTGTCTACTCCTCCTCTGTCCCCTAAGATCACACATGGCCCCCGTTACTGTGCCTGCTCCTCCTCGGTCCCCTAAGATCACACACGGCCCCCTTTACTGTGTCTACTCCTCCTCGGTCCCCTAAGATCACACATGGCCCCTTTTACTGTGTCTGCTCCTCCTCGGTCCCCTAAGATCACACATGGCCCCTTTTGTTGGGTCTGCCGTGTCTCCTACCTGGCGATTTCAGGTCTCACTGCTTGGTCTTCCTATGATCTGCAAGAAACAACCAACCTAGCCATTTTTCTAAAACGCATCTACTAAAATTTGCACAGAGATTAATGTTTCTTTAGGTATTACTTGGTATTTACTATACAATAAAACATATATACTATAGCTCTTTACTTTCATATGAGCTCGCCGTCGAGTCAGCAGCCTAAGAGGGGACCGTTAGCTGGCGGCAGATGTCTCATATAAGCCAGCACACTGTCTCGTAGCACATTTTAAACATTTTTACATCGCATATGGTGTCTCTTCACAGTTACAAGGAAAGGTCACCACTTCACACACGTAGTTTATTACTAGCACGTAGAAGAGATACGGGGTTCAGCACCTTCCGTCACCGAAGCTTCGCAGTTGGCGGGGAAACATGGCGTCTGTCTGAGTGCCAGGAGAATTGTGGAATCTGTAGTTTTAGTCAGCGGCGACAGAAAGGCTACCGAGAACAACTCTTTCATAATAGATCGCAAAATTTGAATTATTTTGCTTTTTGATGAAGAAATAAACAAGAATTGTACAAAAGCTGGGATCATAATACACAAAATATTTAAATGCGTTTCGCGGAAAGAAATATTAATTATTGTGCAGCCGATTCATAAAACGAAGCGGGGATTTAAACTTCTAGCAAAAGGTATTGCATTTAAGGTATTCCATGTAGAAACTTATCTGAACGATTTGCATTTAAGGTGTTTTCATGCCAGTCCATTTTACGACACTGGTGGAATATTATGGCTCGCGCCAGGTGTCATTCGCCGTAAACGTAGGAGTTATGTTGCCAGGGAAACACTCCGGCGAGCAGGAAGTAAATAGCAGAGTCCTTGGCTAGTGAGTCTAGCTCACTGGTTACTTTAAAGCGTGATGTTTTCGGACATTGTATTGAATCTCCGATAATTCGTAGCGATTTTTACAGACGTATGTCAAACCATATCAGACACTGAGTGGAAAGCGTATGATACAGGTAAAAGAAAAACCTTAAGTGTTTGCAAAACACCAACGCGCAGTTGCTAGCCATGTAGCTAGCCGGTTCGCTAACTTCAGCTTAGATGGGTCCATCTGCGCGCGGCGCACCAGCTAGTTTCAACTACGTGATACAGAAACATTAATATAAACCGTTACTAATGCAAACGTGTTAAACTGCATACATGCCATGCGTTGTAATTTCGGATGCGATGTCTAGCCCAAACTTCGTCGTAGAGTGACAGTGATTTGAAATCGTAGCCTGTTGCAAAAAAGCCTGTGTGAGTGATCGACAGCTCTTCAGTGCGCTCTTATATAATGGTGAACTTCTGAGGCGGCGTGAAGTAAAATTGAAGGGAATTGTTAAAAAAAAAATCAACAGCGAGACTGTACATCAGGAAGGTGTGTTGTGTAACCATACCAGTTACACCCACTAACGTTTTGTGGATCCTTGAGTGACGCCGGTGCACAGGGCTTAGTCGAGTGTCAAACCGGTCACCATTACCCACAGGTGTGTAGGA